TATATATATATATATATATATATATATATATATATATATATATATATATATATATATATATATATATATATATATATATATATATATATATATATATATATATATATATATATATATATATATATATATATATATATATATATATATATATATATATATATATATATATATATATATATATATATATATATATATATATATATATATATATATATATATATATATATATATATATATATATATATATATATATATATATATATATATATATATATATATATATATATATATATATATATATATATATATATATATATATATATATATATATATATATATATATATATATATATATATATATATATATATATATATATATATATATATATATATATATATATATATATATATATATATATATATATATATATATATATATATATATATATATATATATATATATATATATATATATATATATATATATATATATATATATATATATATATATATATATATATATATATATATATATATATATATATATATATATATATATATATATATATATATATATATATATATATATATATATATATATATATATATATATTCTCTTTCAGAAACTATGTGAAATGTAATACCTCTCGTTCTTGTGGCATTGTTAATAAAAAAAGCAGGATTTGCCAAAGCGTGATTATTTTGTTTTTCCTGTAGGTGGTGGAAATGACTTCCATATACAGTATGTAAAATTCTCCTAATCATTAAGCCATGAATCACCACATTATCTACACCATCCGCTAACATTCAGGAACTTGAAAATGTCTCATTACTTTATCATTTCAACTTTACAAATCTCTTCTTCAGCATGTGAGATTATTTTTTGTGGTCAAACTGAAGTGCTGTTGGAGAATAAAGCATGTTGGTTAGACTGAGACAGTGGGTAATAAAATGTACTATTTAACTCCTTCAGTCAAAATAAAATGACATTCACTTACATAATATGCTTTATTTCTGAATAACAGTATATTTTAGGTAATAAATGTTGGGCATGGCTTGATTTTTTTTATTTCTAGCAGGAACTAAGTGGATGTGTGTACTGTATGTGAGTTTTAGTACAGTGGTTCTCAACTAGTTTGGCCATGGGACCAACATTTGTACATAATTATCAAAATGCGACCCAAATTTTTAGGAACTATAATATAATTTTTGGAATTATAATTAATTTGTATTTATTTGTTAACTTACACAAGTAGTGACAGATAAATCATGAGAAAATCACCAAGGGTTACAAATAAACAATATTTTATTGCTGTCATTTAACAAAATGCATCAAATTATTACAGAGTAAAAACATCAAATACTGCAAACAGTGGTTAGGGTAAGGAAAAGTTCAGTTGTCGCAGACGCATTTCAAAATAAAAGTGGGATATAAGCAAAATAAGTAAAATATTTAATTTTTGTTGTTTTTTTGACTACACACTCCGCGACCCACTGAAAATGTTCCCGCGACCACTTTTGGGTCACGACCCACCAGTTGAGAAACACTGTTCTTGTAGATTGTACTGATTATTTCATTCCTGAAACACTAGCTTATCATATGTAATGCTACGCCAGCAGAGGAAGCCCTCGCCCGACTACAGGCTCAGCTCCGCTCCCTCTGCAGTCACTTTCTGTTTGTGCTGTATTTCAGCAAGAGCTCAGGCCAGGCTTCCTTGCAAAGTATTCCTAGTTTACCTGCATTACCAAGCGTTATTTCAAGTGACTTTCATGATTCGCTATCTGTCTTTGCCCTCTTGCTCTGTTTTGGACTGCTTACTGTTGCCTTGAACTTTTGCCTGCCTTCTCACCATGTATTCTGGATTTGCCTCTGTGTTTCTTGATCTGTTTTGGACTGATTATTGGTACACTGATCCTCTGCTTGAATTACCACTACATCTCCTGGAATTGCATCTGTGTTTGTTGTTTGGTTTGAACTGCTTGCATGTTGCAGAATCTCCGCTTGTTTACCCGTTGATGTCTATGTCTAATCCCATAAGTAAACTTCTGCATATGGATTCTAACACAGTCTCAGACTCCCCATTACATCATGACATTTTTGAAGGACTAGAAGGTTGAGATCAAGTTCATTAAGTCAGTCTCTCTTAGCTTCAGGCTCCAATTCTGGGGGTTTTAAAAGATGTAAAATAAGTGTCTGTGAATAAAACACAAAACTAATCAATTACTTTGGGAAAATGTAGGTCAACAATTCAAAGTAAATTTTGCTTTTTATAGTGTACACTACCTGACAAAAGTCTTTTTGTCAATCTCAGTTGTTAAAGCAACAAATGTTAACTTGACTTTTTTGCTGCCCACTACATTACAAACCACAGGAGAGAAAGCAAACTCTTCAGCAGGATAGCGCTCCTTCTCATACTTTAGCCTCCACATTAAAGTTCCTGAAAGCAAAGAAAGTCAAGGTACTCCAGGATTGGCCAGCCCAGTTACCAGAAATGAACATTATTGAGCATGCCTGGGGTAAGATGGAGGAGGTATATTTCTTAAGCTCACTGGTAGTTACACATCGGTCACATAATACTGATAATGATGGCATTTGTTATCTTCGTAACTTCAACATTAATCAGAGCCTCAAATATTTCTCAATATTACGACTATTTGTTTAGTACTTATACAGTTTAAGGCAAAATTATTAACCCAAATATTCCGCAAAAGCTGTTTAACAGAGAAGTTTTTTCAACACATTTTTAATACCTGATTTATTTTGTCTTTGCCGTAATGACAGCACATAATAGTTTACTAGTTATTTAAGTATGCAGCCTAAAGTGCAATTTAATTGCTTATTTTAAGTTGGACAACAGTGGTTTATTTTTTAGCCAATTGGAAAAAAGTAACTTTTTAAAAATGGCTAGTACTGAGTTTACAAATTATTTTTAAAACAAAAGTAAAATTTTATTTTATTCCAGCCAAAGTAAAAGAAATAATAAGAAAAAAATATTTAGGAAACATTGAATTTTATTTTGATTTGTTAAGTAGT